CCCAGACTCTGACAGGAGGAAGATTTTCATATACATTTTACTAATTTTCTTTCATCTCTGACACTTCTATTATAGAGAAAGGGCAAATAGCAATAATAAAACACTAGTGGACCGGTGCACGGGGGAGGGTGTCCCTCAGGCCGGCCTTCACCCTCTCCAATCTGGGACCCCTCAGGGGATGTCCAACTGCCGGTTTAGGCCTGATGTAGGATCGGGCCTAAACCGGCAGTCGGACATCCCTCTCACAATCTGGGACTGCTGGCTCCTAACCACTCACCTGCCTGCCTGCCTGATTGCCCCTAACCACTCTGCCTGCCGGCCTGCTCGCCCCCAACTGCCCCCCCCCACCGGCCTGATCACCCACAACTGCCGTCCCATCCTGGTCTGATCACCCAAAACTGCCCTCCCCCTCTTGGCCCCTAACCGCCTCTATCTCAGCCCTGCCACCATGGCTTTGTCCAGAAAAACGCCCGGGAAGGTCTCCTGGGAGGCTCCCAGTTTAATTAGCATATTACCCTATTATTAGTATAGAGGCCTGGTGCACGGGTGGGGACTGGCTGGTTTGCCCTGAAGGGTGTTCCGGATCAGGGTGGGGGTGCCGTTGGGGGGCAGGGCGGCCTGGGCGAGGGGCCTGTGGTGGTTTGAAGGGCCCGGCCATGCCCCCATTGGGGTGGGGGTCCCCACTGGGGGTGCCTGGCCAGCCTGGGTGAGGGGCTGATGGCTGTTTGCAGGCTGGCCATGCCCCCCAGCGGGGACTCTCACCCCATGGGGGCATGGCCAGCGTGGGTGAGGGTTTGAGGGCCATTTTCAGGCTGGCCACACCCCCTTCAGGGTGGGGGTCTCTTCTGGGGTGCCTGGTCAGCCTGGGTGAGGTGCTGATGGCTGTTTGGAGACTGGCCACGGCCCCTAGCGGGGACCCTCACCCCAATGGTGGCCTGGACAACCTGAGTGAGGGGCTGAGGGCTGTTTGCAGGTCCCTCCCTCCATGGCTGGCCTGGGCGACCCAAGGCTACTGCTAGCTCTGGCCTGCTCTGTGGCCGCTGCCCACAGGCCCCTCCTTCGGCAGCCAGCCCAGGCGGGCATGAAACTTGGCTTCCTCTGTCGCCAGGGGTGACCCAAGCTTCCCGCCCGCTCTGGCTGGATCCGTGGCCGCCGCCATCTTTGTCCTGCTAATTTGCATATTCCCTCCTAATTGATGTGGTGTGTCACAGAGGTACGGTCAATTTACATGTTTGTCTATTATTAGTGTGGATTTCCTCTAATTAATCCCCTTTTAATGTGCACGAATTTCGTGCACTGGGCCACTAGTTAACTATACCCTCCTATCCCAACACTAGACCAGCAATTGAGTTGGCTGCTCCTCACAACTGCTCCTGTCCATTCTAAGGAACATATATCACAGACCACGGGCCTCCCCCAAAAGCCAGGCCTGTGCAGCCATACCAGAATTACATCCATTAATACCTTACATTCCTATTTTCCCAGACAATGTGAAAGATATATGCCCCTCCCATTATTTCATCTTCACTCTCATAGCTAGTGATTCCTTTCCCCACATAATACAATTGCTCCTCCTATTTTCCTTCTACGCCTTTGTAATGTGCTACCTGAAACTCCCAAAGCCTACACAGCCCTCTTAAGAGCAGCTCATCTTCCCACACCTTATTAAGATCAGAATGTAGACTTGGCATCCTCTTTGATCCCCACTACTATTTCCCAGCTGTTCCTCCTCTGCTCCTTTGTAAAATCCCTTGTTCCCTCAAAGCTCACAGTAATTGGGTGTACCATCCTATAACTGGAGACTTTGGCACCTGACTCAAGAGCCTTCCTCTCCACCAGTCTGTGTTTTGTTCAACACAAAGGGAAGAACCCATCCCTCTCACCCTGATGCCTCAATTCAATGACTGTCTCATTCCACTTCAGCTATCTACTTGAGTGGCTGGCCATACACTGAACCTTGTCTGTGTTCAAAACTGCTCCATCTCCGAAAAAATTATTTCTGACATCCTATTCTCCCACCTTACACCCTTCCTCAATAACTCCTACCACTCCTGTTACTCAACCACACTGAGATCTCCAGACCACTTTCTCCCTTCCCCACAGCCTACTCTATCTTCACATCCCACCCTATTCAGTTTGGAATCCATGGTTTCTCATTTTAACTACTATTCCAATATCCTAAATTCCCTCATCCCTTTTCCTTTTGTTGTATCTGTTTAGTAAATGCCAACTCAAGACAAAATCAATTCTGTCTCCTCCATGCCTGCACCAAGGCTGATGAATGATATTGAATAAAATTATAAAACAGTATTCAAGTTATTAAATTCATGGTTTTCAACCCGAAATGGGCAGTAATTTTATTATATTCCTAGCAAGCTTACTCTGTCATTCCTTACAACTATTTCAAGTTTTATCTCTCAAATCACTGAGCTCACCTACTATGTAAGACCTTGCTGTAAATAAGTATACATAATACTAAATCAGCCTCAGCTAGTCCAAACAGAATTTATTTTTAAATATAAGAGAAAAATCCATTATACTCTTGCATTGATCACTACACATTTTATGGTAAAATTGAAGAAACAGAATGCTTCCTCCAAAATCTCACTTTCCATCACAAATATTAAACATAGTGTACTAAAAAATTAATAGAATAATATATCAATTAATTATACAATATTTTAATCTTAAACAGTAATTCTTTTTTTTTTAATATATTTTATTGATTTTTTACAGAGAGGAAGGGAGAGAGATAGAGAGTTAGAAACATCAATGAGAGAAACATCGATCAGCTGCCTCCTGCACACTCCCCACCGGAGATGTGCCCGCAACCAAGGCACATGCCCCTGACCGGAATCGAACCTGGGACCTTTCAGTCCACAGGCCGACGCTCTATTCACTGAGCCAAACCGGTTACGGCAACAGTAATTCTTATTAGAGAGAAAAGACCAATTAGTAAAGATAAATTACAGAATATCTAAAAATAAAAACATATAAGACAAAACAATAATAAACTAAAACAAACAAAAAAGTCCATTATGCACTATACACTAAAAGCAAACAAAATACTGGCAAACATTCCACAATTCTAAATAACAGATAAGGATTTGCTAAAGTAGGTATATTAATATTTAAACTTATGATTAACAATAGTAGCAACATTCTTTTCTTATAAAGATTAAATATTTCACATGAAGTCTTCTTTTTATTATTTAGCGAACTATTTTCTTTGATAGAAAAGTGAACCTTATCTCAATATGTTCTGAATATACTAGAACTCAGTTTAACGAAATATTAACTTACCTATTGTTTTAAATGAATAGGATTCAACCATTAGCACATTTTTCAAAGACATCTCAGATTAACTACTTTATTTCGGGGGGGGGGGGGGGGAGAACTGTATTTGTTTGCTTACTCTGTTATTTTCTAGGACATTAATAGGACATCTACATCATACTGCAATTACTCCCCCAAACACCAAAGTACAACAGAATTGTACTGTTATTTCAGTACAACATAAACAATAGGTAGACAACTAGTAACAAACTCTCAAGAAATAAATACAAAGGAATATATTCATAAAACTAACTTTACAATTATAGAAATGCCAAGATAATTATGACCAAAGTTATTTAGGCATACCTATGTATCAAGAACACACAAGCCATGTAAGTAGGAGACAAAATGAGAAGAAAAGGAAAAGCATTTTAAAGAAATGCTATCATAGGTACCTAGGAAAGTGTTCTTAAAAGAGAAGATAGGAACAAAGAAAGGAAAAGGAAACAGGCCAAAAATATCTGAATGAAAATAAGTCAAAGGCAGTTTCCTAGTTATAATTAAAATGTACAATTAACTAATAAACTTCCAAAATCTTAGTTGTATCTAACTTTGGAAAGACAAATTACACTGCAGAGCCCTACCCTGGTAAAAATTTTTTCACCTCTTTTAAAAACAAAACCCAGCTGGAAAAGGAAAATTAAGTTGTTTCTAGCCCTGGCCAGTTTTCTCAGTGGTTAGAGCGTCAGCCTGCAGACCAAAGGGTTGTGGGTTCAATTCCAGGGCAAGGGCACATACCTCTGTTGCCAGTTCACGCCAGTAAGGGCACATACAGGAGGCAACCAATTGATGTGTCTCTCTCACATCTATGTTTCTCTCTCTCCCGCCCCCCAATCTCCTTCCCTTCCACTCTCTCTAAAAATCAATGGAGAAAATATCCTGGGGTGAGGATTAAAAAGTAATAATAATAATAAGTAAAGTCTCTATTCTCTATTTCTAAATCGTTTTACAAAAAAAAGTAATAGAAAATTTATTTTCTTTTTAAAGCTAGATCCAACTGATGAACCAAAATGTCTCTGAAAGTAACCAAAAGGAAAGTTGAAGCCGAAACCGGTTTGGCTCAGTGGATAGAGCGTCAGCCTGCGGACTGAAAGGTCCCGGGTTCGATTCCGATCAAGGGCATGTACCTGGGTTGCGGGCACATCCCCAATAGGAGATGTGCAGGAGGCAGCTGGTCGATGTTTCTCTCTCATCGATGTTTCTAACTCTCTATCTCTCTCCCTTCCTCTCTGTAAAAAATCAATAAAATATATTAAAAAAAAAAAAAAAAAGAAAGAAAAAAAAAGAAAAGTTGAAAAATTCTATTTGGGTTTCTGTAAAATATTGGTAGAGACTTGGGCAAGGAGGGAGGAAAAGGAAAACTCTGTCCACATTCTTATAGATGGTCTCCTTCCTAACTGAAAAGACCAGCATTTAGAATAAGCTAAATGTGCATGTCCACTTACTCCCTACAGAATCCAATAAAGTATACAGTTGAAGATGAATTCCTTAATTGAATGGCTGAATAATATGGGTGCATATGGTTATATCTTATTATAATTATAATACATATACACATACACTTATGTATGTATACTTAAGTACATAAACTTATCCATTTTAATTTTAAACTCACTAAGTAATATTTTCAAAACAAAAAAACAAACATATGTATATCCACCTACCTTAGATTTGTCTTAATATATTTTTTCCTGCCACATTTGTTCATTATTAAGACATTTGTAATAAATGCTTTGCTCCTTCTCGGTTTTCTTCTTTATGTATCCTGCAGTGAAATTATAATGTTGAATTGGGAGATCATAACATTTAATTTTTTAAAAATTAAAACCTCTCAAAACTACACCAGGAAAATACCCTAATTTCTGTAAAATTGAAAAAAAAAAAACAGTATAGAAAGCTGAAAACAAGTCTATATTTTTTTCAACTTTAACTCTATTTAGTTTTATGATCTTCTTAGGAAAAAATTTCAAAATCCTTAAATCATGTGCTATTTCTCAGATTCTTTTCTACTGAAGAGAAAGTAGTGCTGTCTAATTACTTAATATACACTATGCACTACTCATAAGTATCAGCTCTATTTTTATTTATTTTTTACTTTTTCAATCCTCACCCAAGGATCTATTTTCCAATAATCTTTAAAGAGAGAGTGGAAAGGAGGGAGAAGGGGGAGAGATAGAGATAGATAGAGATAGAGATTGAGATAGAGAGAGAAATACTGATATGAGAGAGGCACATCAACTGGTTGCCTCCTGAACTCACCCTGACCAGGGCTGGAGATTGAACCTGCAACAGGAATCCAACCTGAGACCCTTCAGTCCACAGGCCAACGCTCTAACCACTGAGAAAACTGGCCAGGGCTATGTTTAAATGGTAATAATCACTTAATAAACTGAATAAATCATTTTCTTTTTTTTCCTTTATTGATTTTTTAGAAAGAGAGAGAGGAAGGGTGTGAGAGAGGGAGAGACAGAGGGAGGGAGGATGGGTAAGAGAGGGAGAGAGAGAAAGAGAAACATCAATTTGTTGTTCCACTTATTTATGCATTCATTGGTTCATTCTTGTGTGTCCTAACCAGGAATCGAACCTACAATCTTGGTGTATTGGGACGACACTCTAACCAAATGAGCTATACAGCCAGGACAAATCATTTTCTTAAATTTCACTTCAATGCAACAAATTTGTCAACCACTTTACATTTACCTTAAATCTGAAACTTGGTTTTGGCAAAGAATTTTAATTCCAAACAAAATATTAACGTTTATTTAAAATCTCCTTCGAGAGGAAGCAATATAGCGGCATAGGTAAATGCCTATACTTGCCGCCTCTACAACCACATCAAAATTACAACTAAAATACAGAAAAACCATCATTCAGAACCGCCTGAAAGCTGGCTGAATGGAAGTCCTACAACTAGATTAAGTAAAGAAGAAACACACTGAGACTGGTAGAAGGGGTGGAAGCCGGAATGGGCTAGTCCAGTGGTCGGCAAATCGCGGCTTGCAAGCCACATGCGGCTCTTTGGCCCCTTGAGTGTGGCTCTTCCACAAAATACCACGTGCGGGCACGCACATACAGTGCGACTGAAACTTCGTGGCCCATGTGCAGAAGTCGGTTTTCAGCCTGGGAAAGTCTATTTTGAAGAAGTGGCGTTAGAAGAAGTGGGGGTACGTTTGCTGAGGTCGACCCCGCAGATTGAGGGCGTTTTTAGCAAAGGCCAGCTTAGGAGTACCCTAATTAAGTTAATAACAATGTACCTACCTATATAGTTTAAGTTTAAAAAATTTGGCTCTCAAAAGAAATTTCAATCGTTGTACTGTTGATATTTGGCTCTGTTGACTAATGAGTTTGCCGACCACTGGGTTAGTCCAATACTCATATGTGCTGTTTTTTTCATCAGAAGGGCTATCTCTGGGGCAGATGCCACCCATGAGAAGCAAGGGGTCCCAGTTGCACACCAGCCCACCAGCCCAAGGTTCCAGAGCTGGGAAGAGAAGTCCCCGAAACTACAGGCTGTAAAAACCAGTGGGGATTGTGGCTGAGTGACAAGAAGGCTGCTGGAATCCTTGGTGTTCCTCTTAAAGGTCCTGCACTCAAACTTCCACAGTCCGGTTTCTTCTGACCTCCAGCACCAGGAGACCCAGAAACATACAGGGAGGAACTGGATTGTCTGGCATTGCGGCAGGAACTTGGGGACAGTTTTCTCTCAAACAGGGAGCTCACAGGGGTCATTGTTCCTGTGCTTTGACCTCCCCTGTCACAGGGCTGACTGGCAGGCATATCTGAGGCTCCATCAGCCTGGAGCACATTGTTTGCTCCACCTTGGGGATTCCCTGAGACCCCGCCCCATCCAATTTGCAGCCCCACCCATGCTGTTTGCAGGAGCTTTTCCATATGAATGGCCTGTCCTGGGTCAGGCTTCAGACTTTGCTAAAATCTGTCAACAAGCTACAGCTAGTAACAGCATGCCCCAAATTGATCAGTAAAAGGCCCAAGACCCAGCACTAGCACCAGCCTGCTTTGCTTCACCAGGGATTCCAGCAGCCTCCTTGTCATTCACCTGGGCAACTCCAAGCTCAATACAAATAGCAAATTGCAGGTCCCTCTGTAGCTCCCGCTGGGTGGCCCCAAGCAGTGGCTAACTTTGCATCTCCCTGGAGGCCCCAGAGCCAGTGCACTTGGTGGACAGCTTCAGACCACAGCAGAGTAGAACTCTACACATCCACAAGCGACATATTCAAGGGGCAGACTCAGTGAACACCAAAACCCCACTCAAGCAAGTCCTGCTCCATAGGGGTATTTCCTGAAAAGCAGCTCTCCCACTGTAGTCACAGCTGTTCCAAACAGCCAATAGGCCTGAAGGTCAACTCCTCCCAGTGACATCAACAGCAATCAAGGCTCAACTACAAGACTGTGCACACAGACCACACCGGGGTGCATCTGGAATGCCCAGCTCAGGTGATTGGAGAGACTGAGCCACTGGGCCCTACAGGCCACTCCACCAACTCCAGAAGACATAGCAGCTCTACCTAATACATAGAAACAAACACAGGGAAGCAGTCAAAATGCAGAGACAAAGAAACATGTCACAAATTAAAGAAATGGAAGCAAGCAAACTACTGGATACAGAGTTCAAAACAAGTTATATGGTTACCCAAGGATCTTAATGAGACTTTTAAGGATCTTAGTGAAAATGTCAAAGACATGAAAAAGGACCAGTCAGAAATTAAGTATACAATAACTGAAATAAAGAATAGTTTACATGGTTTCAATAGTAGAGTAGAGGATTACTAGAATCAAATCAACAATTTGAAATATGAGGAAGCAAAAAACACCCAATCAGAAGAGTAAAAAGAAAAAAGAATCCAAAAATATGAAGATAGTGTAAGGAGCCTCTGTGACAACTTCAAGCGTACTAACATTTGAATTATGGGGTTGCCAGAAGGAGAAGAGAGAGAGCAAGATATTGAAAATATATATGAAGAAATGACAGAAAACTTCCCCAACCTGCTGAGAGAAGTAGACTTACAAGTCCAAGAAGCACAGAGAGCCCCAAACAAGAGGATCTCAAAGAAGCCCACACCAAGAAACATCATAATTAAAATGCCAAGGATTAAAGACAAAGAGAGAATCTTAAAAGCACCAAGAGAAAAGCAGTTAGTTACCTACAAGGGAGCACCCATATGACTGTCAGCTGATTTCTCAACAGAAACTTTGCAGGCCATAAATATTCAGTGATGAATAGTAAGGACCTACAACCAAGATTATTCTACACAGCAAAGCTCTCACTTAGAATTGTGGGTCAGATAAAGAGCATCACAAATAAGAAAAAGCTAAAGTAGTTCATCACTACCAAACCAGTATTACATGAAATGTTGAAGGGTATTCTTTCAGAAGAGGAAGAGGAGGAAGAAGGAAGAAGAGGAGGAAGAGGAGGAGGAGGGAGAGGAGGAGGGAGAGGAGGAGAAGGAGGAGTGGAGGAGGAGAAAAAAATATGAACAATAAAATGGCAACAAATACATATCTATCAACAATTGGATCTAAAAATCAAAATAAACGAACAAGAAAGCTAATGAACAAAATAAACTGGTGAATAAAATAGAATCAGAGGCATAGAAGCGTGGAACAGACTGATGAATCTCAGAGGGAAGGAAGGGGGGCAGCAGAAAGAGATGAACCAAAGCTCTTACTGGACACAGACAGTAGAGTGCTGAAGGCCGGGGTTGGGGTGGGAACTGGCTGGAGGGGGACAATGTGGGGGGAAAAGGAGACATTTGCAAAACTCTCAACAATAAGGATTTTTTTTTAGGTCTTTATTGTTCAAAGTATTACATATGTCCCCTCCCCGCCCCCATTAATCCCCTCCTGCCCACCCCCAATATTTTTTTAATAAAAAAATTAAAAATCTCCTTCAACCTATTAAAAAAGCTGTTTTAATTTTAAACACTCTAGCAATTTAACCCATTTTTTACTAATATATTTTTTAAATATGCCTTTGGGATGCTGAATGAAGTAAAATTAGCAAAGAAAAAAGATAAAAGAATATCTGGGGTCCCTTATTTTAGGGTTGCAAAGGACAAATGTGCACACCCATAAGTACCTTTTAGGCATCTATCCAGCTACAGCAGTGCTTAGTCACAGACATAGTACCTTCAGAGTTCCCTCCAGAGTGGTCCCCTCTAGGGTGGTGTTATACCATCCCAGTCAATTCTGAAACTGAGTTGCCCCACTTAACTAAGGGCACTACAGCAATGGTTATTTTTGCCACACCTACCCCCTACTCCAGTACAGGGACAATAGATGGTAGGGCGTTTGAACCAGGCTACCTACAACATGACCAAAAAGCAAACATGGTGCCACTCTTTCAGATTAAACTATACCTCTGATCCTATTTTATTCACCAATATATTTTTCTCATTAGAGTTCTTATTCATTTATTTTGAGTTTAAGATTCAATTGTTGCCATTTTATTATGCCGACATTTTACATGGGGATTTCACCTTCCATAAAACTTGTGGCAAGGACCACTTATTTATTACAGAGTAATCGGGCCCTCGCTGGTTTGGCTCACTAGATAGAGCATCAGCCCGCTGACTGAAGGGTCTCGGGTTCACTTCCAGTCAAGGACAAGTACCTGGGTTGCAGGCTCCTCCCTGACCCAGGCCCTCGTTGGAGCACATGCAGGAGGCAACCAATCTATGTGTTTCTCTCACATCGATATTTCTGTCTGTCTTTCCCTCTGTCTTCCACTCTATTTAAAAATCAATGGAAAAATATC